ACACGTGTGTGTGTGTGTGTGTGTGTGTGTGTGTGTGTGTGTGTGCACGCACACATGCTGAATTCGCCAAGGGAATTCCTTCATTTTGATCTTTTCCTTTTTTACATGCACTAAAAAGGCAGAGTACTCTGAAAGGACAACTTTTAAGAGCCATCATTGGGTTTTTGGTCTGACCTCTGGAAAATAAACCATTATCTCCCTTACTTTTAATTTGTAGCTTTCAGAAAAAGATAAACCATATGTGGATATCCAAGGGTTGACAGCCTCTACTATGGAAATCCTGCTGGACTTTGTGTATACAGAAACGGTTCATGTGACAGTAGAAAATGTCCAGGAATTGCTCCCAGCAGCATGTCTGCTTCAGCTGAAAGGTAATTGCAAACCAATTAACCATGCAGTTGATGCTGTTTAGAGCTCTGGAATGTCTTTGTAAGTAAAGGAAAGATTGCAGAATGCAGAAGGCTGCTGGGCTGTTTCCAGACCCAAGTCTTTTTGTCTTGAAATTGCATAATAGCTGTTTGTCAAATGTGCTGCTGCGTGTAGTCTGTTCTCACTGATAAGAAAGTTTGAACCTCATGGAGATATGGTGATAAAACAAATAAGTGTCCCAGGACATCTCCCACTTTCTGGTCTTATAGCGGTGTAAGGCTTCCTTTTGAGTCTCTCCTATATCTGTCAAGTTATTTTTAATATGTATAAATAGTCAGTGGCCTAAACATACAGTCTGTTGCTTTATTTTTTTCCTGGCCCCTGAAGAAATGTTTGCCTATATGCCCCTTTGTGTGTGCTTACCTCTAAGCAAGGCTTTGGGGTTTACATTTCAATATAGACTAGAGCTTGGTTTTCTAAATTACTTTCCAGAGCAGTGATTGGATAGCAGAAGTGCATGAGCTCACTCACTCATCTCATTTCCATAGGTGTGAAGCAGGCTTGTTGTGAGTTCTTGGAAAGCCAGCTGGATCCATCAAACTGTTTGGGCATCCGAGATTTTGCTGAGACACACAACTGCGTTGATCTAATGCAGGCAGCAGAGGTCTTCAGCCAGAAACACTTCCCAGAGGTGGTTCAGCATGAAGAGTTCATCCTCTTAAATCAGGAAGAGGTGGAAAAGCTCATCAAATGTGATGAAATTCAGGTAAAGGTAGCAGGAGCTGTTGTGCAAATCAATGAGAGCAAAACACTGCTTGAAAGAAAAGCAAATCACGGTATATCTCGCCCACTTCCCTTTCCCCCCCACATTGGTTATCTCAGGCAGGCTCTGAATGCTCTACTGACATCTACTTCTTACTGAATCAGCTGCATATTCTGAAACTGACGGGTAGAGTGTAACCTCCCCTCTACAGCAAGGTAGCTGTCATTGGTACATGGAGAATGAAACATTGGTTACTTTATTGGTTACTAACTGTTATGAAAAGACCAGTACTACAAACTGGAACCAGATTAGTTACAATCAAGGAGAAAGGCTAAGACACAACAGCCATGGGAGATATTTCTCTTTGGTATAGAACAGAAATCGTGAATGCTGGCCTGGGCTTGACACTTGGTGATCAGTTGGGTTAAAAGTTGCAGTGAAAACAAAAATAGTTACAATGGAATATATTTATTAGGCATCAGGTTATGCTTAGGCCAGTGTTGATTGTTGATAGGATAGTGCTTGTGGATTCTGCTTTCATCTCCAGTGCGTTCTGTACAGACAGGAAATATCTCACTCTTCTAGTTTCACTGGCATTCATGGGAGTGAAACCATGAAGCTATACCCCAACATAGCAGACACTTATGAAGCTGGTTTACATTAACTTTAGAAGTTCTGGAACAGAACAAATTTAGAGCAAATAAAAAAACACCCTGTCATTTGTATTGTTATTCTGTAGGCATCACTAATAAAATAGTGATTTTAAATTAATTGAAAGCTTCTTAATCCAGCTGCATTTTGTGAGGTGTGCTTGGCCAGCCCAATGTTGGGTAACGTCCTCTGTGGATGTGAAGACCGAGCTCTTCCTCCTTCTCTCCCTTTGCTCATAGTCTTTAAGGCCAGAAGGGACCATTATGATCATCTAGTCTGATTTCCTGCACATCACAGGCCACAGATCCTCATCCATCCACACCTGCAATAGGGCCATAACCTCTGGCTGAAGTCCTCAAATCTTGATTTAAAAACTTCAAGTTACAGAGAATCCATCGCTTACTCAAATCATCCAGTGACCTGTGCCCCACACTACAGAGGAAGGTGAAAAAACCCTCAGGGTTACTGCCAATTTGACCTGGGGGGGGGAGAGGAGATTCCTTCTCAACCCCAAATATGGTGATCAGGTAGACCCTGAGCATGTGGGTGAGACCCACCAACCAACCTCCTGGGAAAGAATTCTTTGTAATAACTCTGAGCCTTCCCCATCTAGTGTCCATCTCTGGCTACTGAAGGTATTTGTTAATAACAGTCGCAGATGGTCCATATGCCATTGTAGGCTACCTCATTGTACCATCCTCTACATAAATTTATCAACCTCAGTCTTGAAAGAGGTTAGGTTTTTGCCCTCACTACTCTTCTTGGAAGGCTGTTCCAGAACTTCACTCCTCTGATGGTTAGAAACCTTGGTTTCAAGCCTAAACTTGTTGATGGGCAGTGTATATCCCTTTGTTTTTGTTTTTGTGCCATCATTGGGCCTTAAGCACCAGGGAGAGAGAGGAGTTAAGTTATCCCTCTGATAGCAATTATATCTCCTTCTGCCTTCCTCCTTAAGTCTCCTCTTATAAAGTTGGTTTTATTTTCCTCTGATCATCTTAGTAGCCCTTCTCTGCACCTGTTCCAGTTTGAATTCATCTTTCTTATACATAGGAGACCAGAATTGCACACAGTTTTCCAGATGAGGTCTCACCAATGCCTTGTATAATGGCAATGACACTTCCCTGTCTCACCTGATGCATCCTAGGATTGTGTTAGCCTTTTTCATGGCTGCATCACATTGGTGGTTCATAGTCAGCCTGTGATTAACCAGTCCATCCAGGTCTTTCTCCTGCTCTGTCACTTGCAACTGATAAGTCCTCAGCTTTTAGCAAAAACTCCTGTTATTAATCCCTAAATGCATGATCTTGCATCCTCCACTATTAAATTTCATCCCATTTCTATTCCTTCAGCTTCAAAGTTGTCCAAATCTTGTATGATATTCCGGTCCTCCAACTTTGTGTCATCTGCCAAATTTATTAGTACACTTCCACTTTTTGTGTCAAGGTCATTAATGAAAATGATAAATAAGGTTGGTCCCAAGATTGATCCTTGAGATGTTCCACTTGTACTCTCTCTCCAGCCCGATAGTTCACTTTTCAGTATGACCTGTTGTAGTTTCCCCTTTAACCAGTTTCTTACCCACCTTTTGATTCTTGTATTAATCCTCATCTTCACCAATTTAACTAAGAATTACCCACATGGAACTGTATCAAATGCTTTACTGAAATCCAGTTAGCTTAGATCTACTGCTTTTTCTTTGTCTAGATTAAAAGTCCTATGTCAAAGAAAGAGATCAGGTTGGGTCTAGCACAATCTGCAGGGGAGGGATAGCTCAGTGGTTTGAGCATTGGCCTGCTTAAACCCAGGGTCGTGAGTTCAATCCTTGAGGAGGCCACTTAGGGATCTGGGGCAAAATCAGTACTTGGTCCTGCTAGTGAAGGCAGGGGGCTGGACTTGATGACCTTTCAGGGTCACTTCCAGTTCTATGAGATAGGTATATCTCCATATATTATTATTTTATTATTACCTTTTGTAAAACCATGTTGTATTTTATACAAATTACCATTTATCTCTGTCTTTAATTACACTGTCTTTCAGAATTTGTCCTAACATTCTGCTTACAACTGAGGTCAAACTACTGGGCTTGTATTTCCCCAGATCACTTCCCCCCTTTCTTAAATATAGGTACAATAGTTGCAATTACCTAGTCATAAGGTATGAATCCTGAGTTTATGGATTTGTTAAAAATCTTTGCAACTGGGCTTTCAATTTCATGTGCCAGTTCCTTTAATATTCTTGGATGGAGATTATCCCGGCCTCCCAATTTGGTCCCATTAAGCAGTCTGAGTTTGGCTTCCACCTCATATGTGGTAATTTCTACTTCCATTTCCTTGTGGCCATTAGCCACCTGGCGGCTCCCCCCAAGATCCCCATTAGCTTTATTGAAAACTGAGGCAAAGTATTCATTTAGGTGTTGGGCCATACCTAGATTATCTTTAATCTTTATGCTGGATTCCCCCTTCTTTTGTTGTTTTTCTTTTTATTTATATGGCTAAAGAACCTTTTATAATTGGTTTTAATTTCCTTTGCAAGATCCAGCTCTGCTTGGCTTTTGGCAGTTCCCACTTTATTCCTACACTTCCAGACTTCCAGGAGGTAGCTTTCCTTGCTAATCCATCCCTTCTTCCATGCCTTGTAGGCTTTCTACTTTCTCTTAGTAATCTGTTTGAGATGTTTGGTCTGCAACCCTTCCCTGTGAGTCCCCCCCCCCCCCCTTGCTTGGGATGCAAGTTACAGGTGGTTTCTGCAACTTCGACTTAAAATAGTTCCAAGCCTCCTTTACGTTTGCTGTTGTATACATCAGCTCTGGTCAGAGGGGAGAGCTTACAGCTATTTTGGCTCCAAAAGCAGTGGAGCATTTTCTGCAAATAAATTAATAGCATTTACTACCAAGTATTTTTGGTTGACCTAGAGAGCTCTCTTTGGTTCTTATGCAGAGCATCTTTTTCTCCATTTCCTGAAGGAGCTATCAGACATTCCAAAAACAATTTGTGTTGGTGCCCAGAGTCTTATTTCAGAAAGAAATTAAAGACCTAACTGTATATCAGTCGTTCGTTGTATGCTGCTCAGCAGCATTAGGAGTGCATGCATCATCCCCATGAATGTGGGATTTTTCCACCTAGATGAGCAGTAAACTGCAGGAGTGTATAGGGGATCTGTGATCTTCAGGATTTACAGTCTTGAAAACTTAGTCTTTATTTTTTTGAGGGTTTATTGGTTGCCTGAAACCTGGCAAATAATTGGTCTCAAGTTTTGTGGGGAAAATGGATTTTTTTTCATAAGTTAAAATAAGTAAAACATTCCCCTGTGTAAGAAACTCTGGTGTGTGTTACTTTTAATAGAAAGGTTTACTTATGTAGCTTAATACATTGATACCAACAGTTACAAGATTGAAAGGGGCAATATTTGTGTGCAATGACTCTTCATTAACTGGACCAATGTGTCAGATGCCTCTGCCTCCTCTCACTGTGTTATAGGACTGGCCCACCTGCTCCAGTAAAGATTTTGAACTCTACAGTGGGTTTTGTGGCCTTAAATTATAATTAAAGAAAACAAAGAAAAGTTAAATATGAAAAAATGAATTAAAATAACGTTGAAGGGCTGGCTTAAATTCACCACTGCGGGAAATTCATAATTAATGTTTAAAGAGCCCAGCTGAGATTGGGACCTCATTGTGCTGGGCACTGCACAGGCAAAGATTAAGAGACAGTCCCTGCCCTAAAGATCGTAGAGTCTAACTAAACCAAACATGGTGTGGGGGGAGTGGCAGAACTCATCAGCAGAATGACAGGTGGCAAATGGCATGGTAATGCCACAATATCTTTTAAACTCTTTTGAGGGAAGATTTTAAGCGAAACAGAAAAGGAGGGAGAAGAGTCACTGAAGACAGAGAGGCAAATGGTGTAAGAGAGGGGAGATAAGGGAGAGAGATGGGAAGGGAGGAGGCTAGAGTGAGGCAGAGGTGAATTGACCATGGGGGGGGGGAAGCAAACAGCCAATCAGCAGAGGGGAGAGACTGCCCAGTAAAGCTGTGAAACAGTCTGATAACATCAGGAGTCCCTGCTGCAGCCACTATCATGTCAGCCTGGGCTGTCCTTAGGCATATGCGGCTGTGTAGAAATTTGGGGCACCATTGGGTCTTAGTGTCCAGCCTCTTCCTATCCCTGTTCTGACCCTACCTGCAGGCTCCCACAGCTGGCTGCTGCTCCCTCGTGACTCTTACTCCAGAGGGGAGCTAGTAACTTAAAAGTGAAAAAGCCTTCCAGCCTGCCAGACCTATTAGCACAACATCGAAACTGTTAAAGAGCTATTCAAGTGGTAATGAGGCCATTTAACAGGCATTTGCCAACCCC